AATTCGTGAAGGAATCAGAAGCCAGTTCAAAATGAACCGTCCTGTTTTTCTCCTGATTTTTCCTCCAACTAGGGAGCCAATCTTTTTTATTTATTTTTGACAGAAGTTTGGACAGAAAATCAAGGGATTTCTGTCAATTGTACATACTCACTTTGATATGCACAACTGAATAATCTCATGTGCATAAATATTTCATAATAATAAGGTACAAAATCTGCTGATATTCCATTGTTGGCCCTATACAATTTGTGAACTCAAAATGAAACAAAACAAAAACCAAATATCAAAGCAAAAGCAAATTTAATATAATTCATCCAACTAATTCAGTCAATTTTTTACTCTGATTGCAGCTCTCAAAATGTAGGTGTCATTGTCCGCTTGGAAAGAGAAAATTTCCATGTCCTCAGTATGCAAGGCAAGGTTGTCGAAGCCAAACCACAAGCATTGCATAAGAAAAAAGAAAGCAGATATGTTGCAGCGCTCGATTCAGAGCAGAATACAATTCAGAAGAGGGATATCGTCAAAGTGACAGATGGACCGCATTCTGTAAGTTGTAACATTTTCATGCTTATGTAAACATTGATATTGAAGTCCTATCCAACGACACCGCTCACAACTTACTTCTTTTATCAATCCTCTATTTCTTACAATCCTCAAACATTTTTTAAAGAGGAATAATACACCAGAATGCCTAAATTGTGCCTTGTTTAGTGGTCCATTTTTGGCAAAAATAAATTGATTACATCTTAAAGCACATCTCAGCAGCCAGAAAATTCTTTTTCAAACACTCAAAAGTCAAAACCAAAGCTAAAATTATCTGATTATTTTGACTTCTTAGTCTTCATCTGGGAAACATTCACTGTTCTTCTCTCATTCGTATTTCTGCAGAATTAATTACATTCGTTATGTTTATAATATGAAAATCATAATTTTTTTATTTGTGAGTATATGTGTAAAAAAAATTTCAATCTAGCTTCTTTTTTCTTTGAATTTAGGGTCGAGAGGGTGAAATTAAACATCTGTATCGGAACTTTGCATTTTTGCATTCGAGAATGTATCTAGACAATGGTGGAATATTTGTCTGCAAAACAAGACATCTGCTACTTGCTGGAGGGAACAAGGTAAATATGTTGATGGTCTTTACTGTTTTAGTTTTTGCAAAAAATTTCCTCCTCTTGAGTGGAGACCACTCACTCTTTTTTTTCAGAGGAGATACCTGACGATTTAGGAACTCTATGAAGAATAAAAAAATGAAAAGCTATACCTACTTTACCATGAGATAATGTTACAATCACTAAAATCACCTACCTCCTTTCTTTTAGGCCACTAACAATAATCTTGGTGGAATGTCACCAATGCATGGATTCATGTCGCCTCGTATCTCATCACCTATGCATCCAAGTGGTGGAACCAGAGGCAGAGGAGGTGGAGGTATTGGGCGTGGTGGTGCTAGTAACATTCGTCGTGATAGAGATTTGATTGGGACAACCATCAAAATCACCGGTGGTCCTTACAAAGGTTTGTTTATCTTATTTCATTTATTTCTAATGGTAATAATGATTACATAAAGTCATACTGTCATACTGTACAAGTGTTCACAAGCATGAGCAGTTAAAATTGGGAAATTTAGAAGAAACTTTAGAAGGAGGTTCAAATTGTTTTAGTGATGAAATGTCCAAAAATATGAAAAAGACTGCAGCAAAAATCTCAAAACCTACAATGGAGATGTTGCATGTGTGGGGAATTTGCAATTGGACTGTTGATTCTTATGTAAAAGTTCGCGAGAAACACGATGGTGCCACTGGTTTTCTCTGAAATTAACTCGCAAGCTCAAAAAAAGCTCTC